CCTTTTTTGAGAAGAACCATACTTCTATGTCTATCATCAAAAACAAGACGAGTTATGTACTCTTTAGGCATTTTCGGAAGTTGTACTGAGAACAAGCTTTGCAGCTGCAGCAAGGAGACCATCGTTTCGCGACTTTGAAAAGGCTCGAAAGAATTCCCAATAACTTTGAATCTGAATAGGATTTGGTCGGAAGAATATGAAGATACCAAAACACAGTTGTTAGGTTGACTCCATCCAATGTTCTTCACATAGGAAAAAAAGAGAGAAAAATATAAAAAATTTGAAGCTCACTCAATAATCCCTTTCTTTTCCTCTAGTCGTGCTACTTCACCTCGACACACATCAAGATTTATAGCATCTGTTGGATCACCTGCGTCTTCGGAACATTCCTGCGACTAAATCTAATGGAATTAGATTGACATAAAATAGTTCAAAACACACAACTTACGTCATTTGCAATTTTTACGAGAGTTTTTAAGAACACATCCGATGAGACCACCGACTCAGACTGCAACATAAGCAGTTATTTTATTAGAATCGCGTTTGTTAGAAGTCGTGATAGAGCTGACTGTGCATTAGAAAACCAAAAAGCAAGTTTGATTAAGTTTGACTATGCATTTTGAGTTCAAAAATGCAGCAATTATGTAAAAATATTTTAAAAACAAATCGAAGTCACTCTTTCTAAATCGAAAAAAAGAAAAATAACGGAAAATTAATTGCAACAAAGAGCATCAACCAACCTTCGTTCTTACTCTTGACATTTTATCTTCATCTCGGGAATCGGAGACAGAATCACAAGATACTTCTCTTTCGCTGTGGCGGGTGAACCTATTACAGCAAAGGATTTTTGTTAAGGCAGTATGGCAGTTTCAATAATTGATAGGTGAAATCAGACTAAAAACAACATGAAGGAGATTTACTTCGGTGGATCTACTCCATTGGGAAGCATCGTAAACTTCGCGATGGTTTTCGATGGATTCTCAAGATAGCTCAAGATGGATGCCATGAAGGGAAGCAAATCGCAAGCAGTCTAGATAAAACAATTTCCATAATCACCAATAATCTCATTGCAACCAACCGATTTACTTCCACACTGAAATTCGCCACGTTCCACTTGACTCAAAGCGAACTTTAGATATAATTGCAGTCCTTTCTGGCCAAATATTTCAACGGCCTCATACTGTTTTAGGGACTTGAATTGCTGTGGTAATATGACATAGTACATCCAGCGCGAATAGAAGAGACGATATTGCACGCGATCAATTTTTGGTACTTAAATAGGATAGAATTTGAAAAATGTAAAAAAA